AAAAGATAGTAATAACAAAATAAAAATTTAAAATTGCAAAAAAAAAAAAAATTAATTTTATATATAAAATTTATAATTTAATAAAATAACTACGAATTCGATTTTTTTTTTTTTTTAAAAAAAAAAAATAAAAGTAAAAATTTACCGGATAATGCCATGTAAAAAGGCAATTTATGCGACATATGAAGAGAACGATTATGCTTTATCCAGTAGGCAAACGTTCGAATGATCACATACAAAGTACACAAACTTCCAAGTAGAAGTATTCCAAGATCAAAAGTATACATGAAATAAATTTCGACGTTGTTATAATCTGCGTGTAAGCCATCCAGTGAATAATCGTATTCGACATCAAAAGTGGTATTGAGAGGAACTGCATTGCAAAGAAACGCAAAAAGTGGTATGCTTAAGAATTTTGGGGTTAAATAACATTTCTGTCGTAAATTCATCAAGGAATTTTGATATTAGAATTGCCTATTTGATTGGAAAATAGTAGTAGTCATGAAATTTATGACCTCGGTGAAAAAAGAAAAAAGAAAAAAAAAAAAAAAATTTGGAATGAGAGAAAATTTTCATTCTTCTTTTGCAGAGAATAAATTGTTAATTTTCTTTTAAATAGTGAAAATAAATAAGGATCATGTCACCTGCGAGAAAATATTTTGTCACTTACGCCAATCTATGAAAAAAGGGTCCTTCTTATTGGGGTTTGAAACGGTTCAAAAAATTTCAAATGAATTCCTTATTTGAGTTGAAACTCCCTAAAATTTTTAATTCATAATTTGAAATTATTCCTTTCTTGAAAATAATAACCGGTTTCTCGATTTTTTGTCATCCCTTAAATGGTTAAGTTTTTTTTTAAAGTTTTATTGAAACCGCAGGAAAATTGTGTAAGATTAAATTCAAATCTTTGGTTCAAATTCAAAAAAAACTATAAAAAATAATATCCCTTAAAATGTAGGGATGCTTAAATATTATTTTACTTTTACAATTGATGCATTTATGTTAATATTAAAGAAAAATCTATTTGTGATATTTTAGCTAATATCTTAAGAATTTTTGCTACTAAAAAAATTAGAAATAGGTTTAATCAAGTATGAAGAACATTTTGTGAATTTTAACAATAAAATCTAAATTATATATAAAAGTAAAAATAAAAATTCTGTTATTTATATATTTTAATTTTAATTTCAATTAATAAATAAATGATATATTCAATTTTTTTTATTATTATAAAGAAAATAGAAATTAGAATGAAAATTTATCAAAAAAAAATAAAAAATATATATTTTATCTTATAAAAAAACTAAAACAATTAACTTTTTAATAAATATAAATTATAGTTCTTTACAATATTATAAAAGAAATTATAAATATTTTAATAATCAACTTCTTTTTAAAAATAACTTATTTTTTAGTTTAAATAAATATTTCAAGTGAATTAATAAGAATTTTTTAATTTATTTCAATTTTTTAATTAAAAACATTTTTAAATTAAGATAATTTTAATGCTTATCAATGATAAAAATCACTAGCCACATGACTCTAAATTTTTTTATTTAAAATGAAAATTAATCTAATAAATTAATTTTATATAATAATAAATGTTACAATTATATAATTAAAATTAAAGAAATTTTTTATAAGTAAAGTTATACTTAAATTACATAAAAAATAGAATTTTATAATCTTATTATACATTGATTCATTGATTATTACAGCATTGCAAAACTAATCTGATCTTTAATTATAAAAATTTTGTTACTATAATTCTGATTAAAATAATTAAGAATATGAACTTTTATTTAATAATAACCTACCTAATATTATTTATTTTCTGAATATTTTTTTGATAGTAACTGAATTTACCATATAATAAACATCTACATTATTATCTTATTATGGTCCAGTGCAAAAAGATTGATACACCAATATGTTTATAATAAAACTTTTTTTTTTAAAATTTAATGTAAATTA